CGAGAAAATATGAAAGTACACGTAATCGTAACAGGTCGACTGGCTTCTATTTGGTGTTAGGCGATAAGACTTGGCCATAAAATAGTCAGATTTGGGAAACTTCGTTCTGAGGCATGGGGAGGATTTAAAACTGCTTTACCAAAGTGTACAACAAACTAATTTCCCCATTAAGGAGTGAAAACTATCAATGGACGACCTGGGGCTGAATTCGTCACCAAGGTGGCGAATGGACCTGAGTGGATTACGTAAACGCTTTGCGCACCCGAAACAAGTACGTGGCGTCGATCCCTGCCAATTATGAGGAGAAAGCCTGGCGAAACTTAAAATATCTTCGGTATATAAAAACGATTATACAAAATAGTTTTAAAAGGTCCCAAGGCAGGTTAATGTAAATCTCCTGTGTTTCAAAATGCATGGCTGGACCTGAAAAAGACGAAAGATCCAGTATTAGCTCCATACTTCATGACCGTGAACCACATAATGTATAGGTAAAGGCGGTGCGTGACGGGAGCGTGAAGGCGATGGGTAGTGCAATCTGTAAACAGGAACCAGTTTGCCCTACGCAAAGCCTCCATGTCAGCCGTTTTTATCGAGGTAATTTCAATCTTCAAAACACCCAATATATGTGCGAGATGACTTACGATCTACACAGTATAGATGATCATTTTACGACCGGCATCGTACGTGAAATGATGGGCAGTGAAGAGTTCGCTGGAAAGAAACGCGCGAACCGATGAAATATTGACCTGTTTCGCCTTGTTGGCCAAATCCTGCTCGGGAATCTCAATTTGCCAGCTCTCATCGTCGATGTGGCGCGAACGCTCAAAAGCAGTCCGATCATGTACTAGTTGTTTGAGCAAGAAGAGTATCAGCTCCTGATTGTCACGACGATAGCTTAGGAAGCGTGAGAACTTCTAAAGCGGGTAAGGAGTTGGAGTTAAGCAAAGTAAAATTAATTCTGAAGGGCAGAACATGTATCGCAATTCGCTTGATATTCACTTGATACTGACTATTGGTGATTTTTATTCGTAAGCCGTGCGCTGAAATGGCGGTCTGGCGGGATCATCAGAGCAAACTAACTGTATTCTATGACGGCAGAGATGGCGAACAAGTAACTATCTGCTCAGTCACAAGACGACGAAGCAGACAATGTCCGAGATTGAGTCGACGTCGACAGGCACTAGATTTACTGTTTGCTATAAAAAAAAGGACAGCAAGTCGTCCAGAAACGTACACGACGGTCAGGAAAGCGCTTTTAGTGCTGCTGCGATCTATGAAGGTAGAAAAAGGCTCACAGGCCGGAACATACACGACACGACCAAACAGGCGGCCTTTGCGGCGGACGTACTGTCAATCTGACCTTTTTTTCAAAGAAGAAAGGGGCTATGTAGTTAAGGGAACCTTAAAGTGGGCTGCATCGAGGGGATAAGGCTGTGAAATTGGCTTATGTGTATGCAACGGACTGGGATGGCCAGTTCTGGTTTATTGATCGTCTTCAGTCAGTCAAGCCCAACCGTTCGCAAGAGCTGAGATTCTAACTCCGATGGCCTGTTTATTGGGTAATGATATGTCCGACACTGCCAGTGAGCCAAGGGCCCGTTGTCCTGTCGGTTGTGATTGGGAACATTCACTATCGTGAGGAGTGGGCACATCAAACAGGTTACAAGGCGTTGTCGTCCCGTTGCAACTTGGGGCTTAATCTAGAACCACTGTCAGGAAGTTCTTGCCCATTTGCAGCTTTCTGAACCCAAGCCAAAGGAATCGTCATTAGCCCATAAGACCAAAGCTACCTTAGTGTACCCTCAAAGCCAGCAAAACTGTGATTAGAATCGCTGAATTGTCGAGATGCGGAAAAACTGAAAATATGACAAAGCGTACCTGTCGCATAGATTTCATCACTCCATACTTTTGTGTTGACACAAACGACTCCAAAACCGTACGCAGCGCGACGTTAACGTCGTCTTCGTTCACGTACTCGCGGAGGTGCATGCGCGCGTGGGCTTCGGCCATCCTTACCACGGACTCAATGTGGCGTACGGTGATTGGTATACTTCCCGTGGCCTTAATGGGATTACAATAATGAGACAGTCTAACTTACCATCGATTCACGACGGAGGTCAGCATAGGCCTTTGCCACCTTATCCTGGTCCATTTGGTTAAGCTTGGGGTGTATCCTTTCCTTCGCATATAGTATGTACTTCTTCAGCAACTCCTGAAAGATGGTCGCAGGAACATATTCAAGCACACTATTTCTAGTAGAGACAGGCTATAATTACATTAATAATATGTACAAAACACCTGTATCAGCGGGCATTGGAAAGCCTTCGCAACCAATTCATGGTGAGGGAATTAATACCTCTGGTGTGCGAAGGGTGTTACACTACGATTTTTGAGGCAATAATGACACCGCATATGATTGCCTGTTATACATAAACTAGGTCTTTATACAAGGGGCACGATAGGTCGGACTATACGAAGTGAGCTATTGTAATTTCGGTGGATACGCAAGTGGGAGTTACGCACACCAGTAGTGCACTCCAGAAAGGCAAGCGGATTCTGAGACGGACGCATAGTGTTAAGAGCACAGAGGCAACCCAAATGTTTTTTTAAAGAAAGCTTTTAAATGTCCGGTGCCAAAAAGGTCAGGAGAGGAAATGATGCAGTGATTTCCTGCGATAGCCACTAAACGAGGCGCAAACAACTTACTCGTAACCACTTTCATGACCCACGACAGAAAGTCACACATAGCCGTTACTTACCTGAGAGAGTGGCTGACATTCAGCTGCGCTGGCCTCTGAACTTGATGTTGTGGCGCCCAGACTGGCCAACTGTTCTACTAACTGCACTTGCTCCTCAGCTGTCAGATTAGGGTGGTGCCGCATGTGACTTCCAACAACAAATCGTGCCAACATTTCGTCTTGGACTGGGTCAACCGTGTCCCGAACGACACAGAGAATGTCGAATCGACTGAGGATTGGCTCACTCAAATCAACGTTGTCGGAAAAGGTCATGCTCGGGTCATAACGACCTCCAATTGGATTGGCTGCGGCGATGACACTGCAACGCGCCTGAAGACTGGTCACGATCCCTGCTTTGCTTATGGATATACTCTGTTGTTCCATAGCCTCGTGGATGGAGGTTCGGTCTTGGTCATTCATCTGGTGAGTAAAAACAAACGTTCGTCAACGCGGACACGCCCTCAGATAGGTTTAAACAGATTTTGAAGCAAGACTTAAGAACTGACCTTATCGAATTCATCAATCAGGCAAACGCCCTTGTCAGCTAGAACAAGAGCACCTGCCTCTAGAGTCCACTCCTTTGATACTGGATTACGGGTAACGTAGGCAGTTAAGCCAACGGCACTTGCGCCTTGGCCTGTTGTAAAGACGCAACGAGGGGCCACCTGTTCGATGTACTTCAAAAACTGTGACTTAGCGGTACCGGGGTCGCCGCACAGAAGAACGTTGATATCACCGCGAATTTTGTGTTTTTCACCTGGCAACCGGTAAGTATGTTAGGTAGGCAAACTAACCGGGGTTCTTAGGTTCCCCACCAAATAAGGTCAGTGCGATGGCACGTTTGATGTCCTCGTGACCGTAGATGCTGGGAGCGACGCTGGCAAAGATCCTTTCTGAAATTCTTTCATCACGCGACAACTTCATAATCGTTCGCACATCCTCATCCGTCAGGCTGCCGAGCACCAGCTAAGAGAAACTGTATAACAGGAGAGCTGAAAATACCTTGTCTTCTTTCCTGACAATATTGTTAGCGTGTATGATAGTCGAGAAGACTGGGAATCCTGTTTGCGCGTTAAGAGAGTTGCTATAACTATTGGTGTAGATACCGGTGAGTTCCTAGGGAATATTGGCAAAGTAACAACGTACCACTTCGTCACCCGGTTTGCAGCTATCAACCAAATCATCGAGTAGGATTGCGTCCTTTGACCTCGGAAGTCGCCCGGCTGGTACCTTCCCGGGACTTTCTTGGATGGTTATTCGCTGATAATTTTTGTAAACCGTCTAGAAGGAGGCCGTAGTGACCATATCTCAGCCTTACTTGCTCAATATTGATCTCGAAAGGCCCACCTGACTGGCAATCGGGGCATGTGGATGGTTTTACCTCAGAGCCTTGGTTCTGGACAAACGGCCCCAGGATACATGAGCATTTAACACAATTGTACTTCACCAAACTTAACTGAGGCATCACACTGGTTGCACTGGTCACGACACCACAGGTACGGACTAGTTGGTTTAAATGAAGATGACGAAGGCTTCTTAGATCCTCGATAAGTGGAAGATCGACTATTCTGACGTTCACGTGACTGCTTATGCGGTCGTACCGAGGGTACCGAGCTAGGGTAACTTCAAGGGCAGCTTCGTTGAAAATCTCTAACATATGGAATGGGGCTTCTGGTAGGAAGTAGGCCAAAACCTGCTCGGCTGCCGCAATATGCTGATAATCAACGCAGAGACTTTGTCTATTCTCTCGGGCCATTTGAACAATGCGTTCAGCGTAGACGTTCACGTCATTTTCGTTCAAAAAGGTTCGTAAAAAGACCTTGAAGCGATTCTTAATTTCTTGTCGTGTGGCTGGCTGTTGAACCCACTCGTTGACTGACATTCCCTTCATGTCTTCGAGGTTTTCTATGCTTTCCAAAGCCTCGGTGTAATCTGACAATTCCACATCAGTTCCAGCGGCCACGCGTTCGGCCAATCGCCGTCGTCTTGCAGGTACAATGTCCTCCTCGTCTTCTTCACCATATAAGTCTAGGAAATCAATGCATACAAGGCTTGGAAACCTGCGACAATATCTCTTCTGAGACCTCCCGTGGCCAGTAGTTCTGCACGATCGCGATGTCGCATTTGGCGTTCGGCCTCAGCCCTAGCAGTCGGAGAAAGGCTGGAAACCTCTTCATCATCTGCTAATCCTTCCGGTTCATAAACATCGAGCTCCGGTATTGGGCTGCGAAGTATAAGTAGTGGAAAGCGAATTACCGGTAGTCGCGCTCCATATCGTCACGAAACAGATCTTCGCCTTCAGTTTCTTCCTGCACTTCACTGTCGTCGCCCAACAATGCTGCAGACTCGTCCTCAAATGGCTGTGCTTCAGAGTCCGACTCTCCATCATTGGGTCTTGGCTCAGCAGACGATGGTGGCTCCTGCGCACAGATTAACTTGTGACCACACACAACTTACCGACATCTTTTGAAAGCGCAATTCGGGCTGGGTGCGACAGTTCTGCCAATCAGAAGTCGGATTGGTTTTGACCCAAATTAGGGTTCAAATTATTCAATGTTTAGAGAAAACGCGAAACCGTAAATACTTTAGAAGCGCTTTGTAATAAAAAACGCATTTTTAAATACCAGGCTCGGTGAATTCGCAATTGGCTTATTAAACGCTTTTATACTGTCCAAGCGGTATTTAAAATAGAAATTGTTTTCATGTGGAATCTAGTGAAGTCGATGAAAAGAAGCCATCTGAATAAGACTGTACGAATCTAAAGTATATACAATCCCGAATATAGCACCCTGCAGTCGATGTAAACCAAGACTTTCTTATGACTTATGGACAACATATAACCCGTTTATGTTCCCTCTATGACTTTCATTGTTGTAGAACTTCAGACTTGATTATTTCTGTCTCGTCTGGACTGAGTTTTTTTGGTGCATTTTAGGGAACTAAGCCTACCCCTTTGCACTCAGTATTTACCACATGTAAAAAGGAAAGATTAGTAACAATGTGAAGAAGGCACAGTGTCAAATGAATTCAGACACATTCATATAGGCTACTCGTTTTTATGGTTACACAGCCACTTAGACCGCTTGTTGTTGCAGCATATGTCCGTTAAGCCTATGTCTTAATGTCTCCACAGACTAAGACATTACAATAATCTTTGACAGGTTACTCCACAGTTCCACGACACAGACTGGACAAATGCCTTCTCACATTTCTTGGGGAACAAGGAGTTTGAAGAGATGTTCCCAGAGGTTAGTTGTTGTGGTGCATTTAGAACACTTATTATGCAGGGGACAGGGTAAGCCACGTGCGATAGGCGAGGTTTATATCAAGTCTTCACTCAACTGCTTTTAATTCGGAAAATATAGGTTTAGGTTTTTTAGACGGATCTCGTATGGCAGTACACCTATTCGGATCGCATTGTTGTGTATTAAGGACTTTATTTCGGCTCCCGAGACGCAGTATAGTTCAGTTTCATTGAATGAAAAGACAGGAGCTCAATGCATCGTCAATGACTTTCTATATTTTTATATCATCCGCAAACATGCCACAATCGCAGTCCAATTTCTCTACACGATCATTAATGAACCAGAAAAAGAGAATCGGTTCTGGCACTGAACCTTGTGGGACTCCGCTCACTGAGACTGCGCCTTGCTTGCTGTCGCTCCTCACAGAAAATTTGAGGACAACCGACGAGGAAGCCCTCGGTCCATTTAAAAAGTTTGCCTTCGATGTCCATGACTCTCATTTTGTAAGGGAGACGCTGTTGCGGAACACTGTCGAACGCCTTCCGGAAATCAATGTCGACCACATGTACAGAGTGTGTTTCATCGAGTGCACTTGTCCAGCTTTGCACTGTATATAGTAAGTTCGTTACACAAGATCACTCCTAAAAAGGCGCATTCTGCATTGGACAAGGGGTTGTGGGACTCCAAATTAACCATCAACTCCTTTTCGGCTGTATTCTCTTTGACTTTGAAGCAGATTGATGTCAGACTGACGGGTTTGTAGTTCGTCGCAAGAGCTCGACTACCGCTTTTGTAAAGTGATGTGATGCAGCTCGTTTTCTGGTCTGCGGGAAGAATTCCATTATCAAAGGATTTCTGGTAGAGAAAGGATAGCGATTTGGCTAACTCTCGAGCAATTTCGGAGAGCAGCTTCGCTGGGATCTCATCCGGACCAGGAGGTTTACATTCCTTCAAGCTTTTTAGTTCTTCGAAAATCGTTCCAGCCCTAGATACAATATTTTCAATAATCGGACCTCCCATGCCCACGGAATCACTTGAAATAAAAACTGCTTCTCTTGTGAAAACAGATTAGAAGAAGTGGGCTAAATGCTCTGCTTTGTTTGTGCTGCCGGATATCTTGAATCCGTCATCATCACTCATGAGTGGAATCGGATTGCTGTAACGCAGACTTTTTTAATTGGCTGTGGATCAATTTTTAATTTTTAAACGCTTAGTTGAGTAAATTACTCTTGAAAAGTCATTTTCCTTTTAAAATAAACGACTTTGCTCTATTCCTTCCGACTTTATATTCTGTAAAGGTTGCTTTGTCGTTGTTTTCGCGACTCATCTTCCACAGCCATCCGATCTTGCTGACCTCCTTTTTGAGATCTTGCCTCCGCCACTGAAGTTGGTTGGATATCCCAGGCTTCGATAAAGGACAGTGACTCCTCGTTAAATGCAAAACCTATCCTTCAACAAATTTACATCCTCAGTGACGTTCCCGGAGAAAAAGACATCTCGACCTATTTGTAATGCCCCAACTGTCCTTTTGCAAGAGTCACCTTGCCAGATATTTGGCCTCGTCTCATTAACTTGATTTGGTGCGAAATATAGTCCGAATTCTCATACAAGTATTACAAGATCACTTCTACCAAGAGGAGGTAAGCAGTATACTTCTTGCTGTCGGGATCTTTGGTGAAAACGAGATTCAAACAACTAGTCCGTTGCCCTCTCCGTTCTATAGTTGGAACTAGAATGTACTGAGCGAGAAGAACATTAAGTGCTGCCTTTAGAAAACAGTGATTGAAGTCATACTTTGAGCATTTCGCATGCATATTGAATGCAGGGTGCATTGAATTCTACCGTGAGAACGACGTACGGTCGACTGTCCACCTTCTTTATGTTCTCCAGAAAACAAGTATCTGTGTCGGGGTCCGTCAGTGGTGTTTGGTAAATAGTTACGACTTCGAAGGACCGCGACCCCCGTGCCTTTATAGTCAGCCAAATGGCATATATTTCGCCGACAATCTTGTCGTTCCTCCTATATAGTCTGGAGCTGCTCTTTTGTATACATGGCAACTCCTCCACACTTGTGGTCCCACCTATCTCTCCTAAACCATTGGTATCTTGATAACGTTACTTCCAAATTCCCAGCATTCTGTGACAGCAACGTTTCAGTTATAGCTACAAAATATGGAAGCGTATCGTTAGCCTGTATTCTCAGTTCTTCGATCTTCGAAAACAGATTCTAGTCATTAGTTTAGGAATATTAAGTTAGGAAAGTTCGACAGAGCTTAATTCATTTTGCCCCGATTTTGCTAATGCTACGTTGCTACTGCACTCATGAGCACTGGCTTGTTCCAGGGCAACATTGCGTTCCATGGTATTACTCGTCCCCTTAAAATGGCCAGGTCGTTCTCTTCAGCTGCAAGTCTGCTCTTCGGTTCCGTCACTAGTTCGCAATATTTCAGACGTCCCGCTGGAGATAAGTCAGGCTGAAAAACCTCCTTGTGAGAGTTTCAGAGGTTCCCTTTACTGGATCAAAGTAAATTATCCACTCCTTTCCTGTTCAAAACAGTTGAAAATCCCGTGCGGTTACGAGGTTAGAAAACCTTTTCGAGTTTTCTGGTTTTCCCCTCAACTGTTTCTGCGTTTTCTATATCTTCCTGTTCCTATTCCACCATGATGTCGTCTTTTTTCACTCTGTGAGCATATATTCCCGTCATACAGATTACCTTAAATGAAACGGAGAGACATATAACCCGGTTCAAACGATCATTTTTCTCCTGTTTTTGCAAACAAGGCAGAACTCGACTGTTAGTCCTTTGTATAGGAGACCATCGAAGCTGAATACCACCATGTCCATTGCCAAGGAACCGGTCTCTTACCCACTTTCAACTGATCTTCTAACGTATAGCGGCTCTCGGCTCATGAACCAATTCATCTCTGCATTCCAAGGGCTGTAAAGACAAACAAATCCCTCAGAGTTAAAAATGTGACACCTGCATTTCCCTATCAAATTAGGAGAGAAACCGGTGGCCATATGACAACACTTGAGGTAGCTACCTCCTTAACACTGCAGGTCAAGTCTTCTCTCTCGTCCCAGTTGGTCATCCGAGACTTCACAGTGAACAGGGACATGAATTTAAAAATCAATGTGGATATCGTGGGAAACGTGGGACCGTCGAATAGATTTTTGTTGCCCGCCGAAAATCAACAGCTGGGTCTAAAATAAAAACCAGATTCCGAGCGAAATTTTAAGATCTGACAAAGGTCTTCAGTACCGTCCGCCAGATGGACTCTGAAAAGGAATGTTAATCTTCAGTTGTTCAAGGCGCTTTGTACAAATAGCGCTACAATTCCACTATGGAAGAGTTGTCCGTGTTACGAACGGTGGCGCAGTCTCGCAAACTTTTCGGCGGCACAGAGAAAGAGGTAGAGTTGTGCGCCCGCTCATGATTTCTCCAGTGTCGTTTTCGCAACAACCGCTTATTGACGCCTACTGTGAGGAGTGACTTCAAATAAACACTGCATACCGAAATGATGGTTGCTGGCTCATATTTTGATGCAAGCGGGTATCTCTGAGAGTTTCCGCCACCAACGTTTATGACTTTTCGCTCGCTGATCATTCTGGAATGAATGCTATGACTGGAACAGTGATTCACGGAGTCCTTGCTTCTGACTGCGCAAACCCCTGGCTGTCCATCAAGACGGTGGCGAAGACGGTGACTTATTGTCAACTGCCACCTGATGACCACAATTCGCTCGGGATCCGCATAAGTACAGTCCGCCCAAACGTGGCTTAAATTCTGAGGGACATCAAGATCAACGTCGAGATCGTATGTCCGATCTGTGAAGGCAACAAAGCCCTCGACAGGTTGCAGCATTCAGTTTTAAATTGGAGCCGTCTTCACGTGAGCATGAAGCTGAGGAGGTACTGGCTGCTGTCTGAACAACGCTCATGCAAGTCACGGAAGAGTGGACTGCATATGATATCCAGGCAAGAATGCCCAAACATTGACAACCGTTAACTCCGGAACCCCTAAAGATGAAGTTACAGGAAAGGATTCAGGACACTGAAAAGAAGTGGCGCTCTCGGTATACGCATCATGCCGTGACAGACGCAGATGCGGTGAGACAGATGCGTCGTGAATACGAACGATGAGTGCCTGCTCAAGTGACTATTCTACGACCACATCGTTACTGGTTTTGACAAACATGGGAGACAGAGGTGTTGTT